CCGTTTCTTAACCTCAAAATTAACCTAACCTAAAATTCTGCAATATATTTTGCAATTGAAAGATTGCCTTTAGATAATATGTTATTAATTATAACTTATAATACTAACACTGCTATTTTGAAATATATTTTATTATTTTGCAAGCAGATACCAACTTATATTGCAAAAAATTTATGAATTTACAGAAAAAGTCTTCATAAGAAATAAATAAAAACACTTTCAGCAACTAAGATTTCTAGTGTTGCAAAACAAGATACAGTCAAACTTAATTATAGTAGTATTAAAATAAAACTTTTTTAAGTCCTTTATCCAATAATTTTTTGCTTATAAATTTAATGTAAAATATTAATTAACACCTTAGGAGTAATCAGTATAGGTTTATTTAAAAGCATGGGGTTTTCTAAGAGCTCACATATACTTTGATAAACGTAACCTAAATACGTATTGCCTAAACAGTCTATGATATTTTTTTATTTTTTTACTTTCGATAATTTTAATTATTATTTAAGTTATAAGTCTTACTTCTTAAGGGCAGATTTATGAAGACCAAATGAAAAAATACTTTAAATTCACTTTTAACATCGAAATTGAACGTAATAACTCTTACGTATATATGTCTATTATTAATATATAAAATATTATTATTTCCTTTAGCAGGTCCTGTAATTATTAGTAATAATTAGTAATAATTTTTTACATAAAAAATGAAATAATAAAATATTTGAACATTTTAAACCCAAACATAGCTTCCAAAACAGATACATCTAAAAAAAGTTCAAACCAAAGGCTATATATCGTTTACTTAGCAAAACCCAAGCTTTTTCTTTAATACCTATTATATTATAAACAAAATTAATAGAACATCAATCTTACTATATTTTAGTAATATAAAAAACCTCTGCTTCTGCTTCTGAGTTGAAACTCAATTGAAGATGTCAATACTTCATAAGAAGAAAAGTACAGTACGCAACTGGTTTTTTAGGAATATAAATCTAACATCTTCATTCAACTCTTATAGGACCACAAACAGTTGGAAAGTGTGTGCCTCTGTTTCTCGTGGTTAAGTATGATAATATATAAAAGATTTGATTTTTTACATATATTATTAAAACACAATAAATAAAAATTTTATCATCAATTATATCCAACGTAATACTCGTAGATATTTTTTTCTTGTACATAAAAAAAGTATCTCATTAAATAAAACGTAGATAGATACAAATTCAGGTACTGTTTCAAACAAATATGTAGGTAAAGATACTAAAATTTAAATGAAGAAAAAAAGAAAGATGCATTGTACACCAAACACAATTTTAAATTGAAATAAAATATGTCTTTTAGATGTCCATAATGCCGATAATACAATAATAGGTAAATATAAAATTGCAATTTACGTAACTTGTAAATAAAATATCTATTAAATTATAAGCTTTTTTTGGACTATTTATATATGATATATATAAAAAAAAAATATAAATAAAAATATATATATATTCCTTTAAAATATATTATAGAAAAATATGCAATGGATCTCCTGAGGAATAAAAGCTACTGAGAAATTATATATTTTGACCGTTTTTTTAATGAATTAAATATTTATATACAAAGCACAGTTATGAAGTTTTTGTATCTATATACAAATAGACAATACATGAAATGAAATATGTTTAAATAACACACAAGTTTATGAATTGTAAGGTGAATTATATTACCGATTAAACCAACAAAGCCGGTAGCTATATCACTAAGATGATGCTGGGAACACAGTTATACCAGAATATAGTAAATTCGGTGTAAGTTTATTTATTAAATTAAAAAATATATTTAAATTTTTTTAGAATTAATATTTGCAAATATCTCTACTCCTCAGCACTATGAAATAACGCACCTGCATTACATATCTTCAAGCTAGAGTATCAATAGCAGCGGGACTT